TCGATGCAGCCTGTCCAGATCCCTCTGCAAATTACTCAATTACAAAATTACTCGCTGGCATAGAACAGCTATGATTCTATACATTCTTAGAAAACTTTTCTGCTTTTTGTCAGTTGAAGATTTTTATGTTGAAATAGTAAATAATTTGTCATTACCAATAAAAACTGGACTTAGGTTCTGCATAACCTTTTTCTTCGGTGTCATACGTTCAACACAGCGCTTCTTGACATGCTGTAGAACTGTGTAGAGATGGGATAGTCTGCAAATAAAACGGGGGCTGTGATAATATATTGCAAAAGTATGCTTACTGAGGACTGCTGAAAAGAGGTGAGGTGGGAAGGGACTAAGGCAGGATCTCCATGTACACACAGTTAGCTCAGAATAAAAAGTCTACGTTATATAATGACGTGTCACTGACAGTACAGTGACTCAAGGTACGGCAGTAGATCCTGCACTTTGAGGTCTGTCTGGACTAAGTAATTGGCATTAATAAGTTGTATCCCTCTTGAACCAGTGCTGATGGTGATTCAGCTGTAGGAGCTGATGGATAAACCAAATTTCAACACCTTGAAGTCCTGAGAATTTTCCAGTTATGATGCTAAAAAGTGTGTTGCTTATTCCAGCAGTGAAACCCTCTTTATCACTGCTGTGGGAGCTGGACAACAGCTGGTCATTGTCCTGGTGGTGGTAAATACTCATCTGAAACTCCTAGGGTTTAAAAGCATGAGAGGGAGATCTATAATCAGATATATTTTACCTGTCTTTAGTTCTAACCACAGAAGAACCACTCATGTTTTAACTTTAAATTAATCCTTAGGAATATCAATAAGGTGTATTCACTGTAATTTGATATTCTATGTGATAAATGATCATTGTTAAAAGTAATTGAAAGAACTGTTTGTAATGCTGTGCAGAATATGTCTGGAAATATAATTTTTTGTTAAATTAAATTAAAACATTTCCCTCAAGCTTAAAGTCTGAAATTTCACTGTGGCCGTTCATATAAGCAATGGAGTAGAACTACACTTGTTTAAAAAATGAGTTGTATAAGTGTTCATACAATAAAGGAGATTGAAGATCAGCAAAGACCTTAATTGTTCTCTCATTCTTTGTAATTTACATCGTTTCCTGTCCACAGTGAGATATTTCCAAGTTAAGATGAAAAAGAACATTAAAATGACTTGCTGTTCTTATGTGACAAACCTTTGTTGAGGAATTTGAAAGAAAATATGTCTTCATTAATATCTTCATGCAGCTGTACTGAAGTATAACTCACTGATTGGTTGTACCTGCTTCCAATTAAAATTTGTATTAATCTTTTTTTAAAAAGGAGGTTTTAAGTAGTAGTTGTATTTCCAAGCTGAGAGAGATTCTAGTCTGAATGATGGACTATATCGGTGTATTATTTAAAGCATGTATTATCTGATAAATATTCCACCAAAATATAGTATGGTTGTTACCTTCTGGTTTCTTAGCTGTGTATGTGTACGATATAAAGTGATCCTTATTGTGCACACGTGTCTGTGTGAGAGAGATAAATGATCATTAATTAGCATACATGGTTTCCTTCCTGTTTTATGTGAAAGTATTTTGGTAGCAAACTGTATCAGAGTGCTTATAGTACATGAAAGTACAGAGTTTTTAAATGTAACTCCCACTAGACCTTAATCTGTTGATGATCTTTGCCAAACAGGCAAGTTTAACTGTCCTCTATAAGCGCTGGTAATACTGCTTTGTCTTCCTTATGCTTAAAACAGCAGGCTTGGTCATAAGCTTCCTCTTTCAGATACACTTCCAAATCAGATTTATATCATGTGTCAAGCACAATAAGGAACTTTGTGTGTGTGTGTGTTTTATCAACTTAGCAAAGCACGGCCAGAAATCTTGCTGCACCTTGCAAAAAGAGTTGTTGTGAAGGGGGTGAGGTTAAAAAAAAAATTCTGAAGAATTACAAATGTGAAATATTTGAAGGTTATAAAATCAAGCCTAGAAAAGGGTTACCTGGTTACTTGAGCCAGTGAATCTGCATTGGGTTCACATCTAATGCAGGTTAGATGTTTCTCCATGACACCTTTGCTTCATTCTGTGCAGAGGATGCACTGTGTTCTTTGTTCCCGCGCACGAGTACAACAGAAGGAAATTTTCTGCATAGCTGAACTGAGATGAAGGTCCACATCTCAACTGGATCTTGGTCTTGACAAGACTTACATAAGGTGCTGGGGTCTGGAGTTGTTGATTCACCTCTATGCCTCCTGCAGTTCACGTAAACTAACACAAAAGGTGTACATAAGCATAGTTGGTGTCACACAACATGCAGACAGATCCCCACACAGATGAAGTGATATGAAAAAATATTAAAACAGAAAATATTCCACATGACTGTTAATAGATAGTCCTATTAATGGAAGATGTGGATGCAGGAAAGGACTGTGTCTAAATAGTTTTTCTTTTGAAAATGACAAGTGTTTTTTTTTTCCACTTACAGCATAATTAGATATTACAGGATAATTACCTCTTAAGTTAAATGTCTTCATGATAAAAGCAAGCAATATATACAGACATGGTGAATGCCCTACGGAAAAGACAGAGTGGTGCACTAGGCATCTCAAATTTTGTAATAAATTGGCAGATGCTCCTCTTTAGATGGAACCCTGATACAGCTGAGTGGTTACTTCTAGTGTGGATTGCCATTTCTTTTCTCAATCATGTAACAGTGGGCAGCTAATCCATTGCGATGGCAAGGGAAGGCAGCGCATCCCTCTTAAAAAAAAAAAAAAAAAAAAAAAAAAAAAAAAAAAACAAACCACCAAAACACCACCACCACCAAAACTACAAAAGCTTCAGGAGAAAGATCTTGTACACTGGATGGTAAAAGGCAGCTAACCATTGTAGATAACAAGTTGTTTGTTGGGATTTTGGGGGGGTTGTTGCTGGGTTGGTTTTCTCTTGGAGAAGAAAAAAAAAAAAAAACAAGGTAGAGAGGATGTGGTGGTGTATCTGCGAAAGGTTGAGCACCCTGCAGACTTGGCTTTACTCCCTTCAAAGCAGCAAACCTGCCGCTGTTCTCTGTCGCTTGTGTGATGCATGAGCTCTTTGCTTTGGGCTAGTTCTTGTGTGTGTTTTTTTTACCTGCCATTTTATTTCAGGCCACTCCTGGTGTGACTGAGATCGCATACTTTGACATCTGTCTGGTGTAGAGGAAGGCGGCAAAGCCAGCCGGTAGCTCACCCCATCGACAGTTTTAGTTCATCACCGATGAAGCAGCAGGTCTCACGTCCTCGGCAAGCTCACGGAGCGCTAACCCCTTGTTTTTTAGATAAGTGATACTCAATTTTGCAGATAAGCAATGTGGAGCACACAGTGTGTGTCCAGCTGAAAGCCACACGGTATCACCCCCTCGGCTAACAAGAGCGAGATCATTATTTCCCTGAATGCATGGAGTACAACAGCAGGAAAATTAAATTGAGGCAAATCCCAAGGATTGCAGGGTTGGCTGCACTTCACCTTGCTGTGCTCCATCTTGGCATGTGCTTGAAGGTGGCATGTTCATTTAGGATAAGCTGCATCCATTTTGGGTGAGAATGAAGCAAAAGCGTCTACTTAAAATTGTGATGAGGAAACTTAGCCACAGTTTCCTCTCTCCACCTCCCGTCCTCCCCTCCCTTCATGGCTGTATTTAGCAACGATTGCCAGTTAGGCAATGCAAATTTAAGGCTGTAGGATTATCAGCTTTGGAAAAATTAAGTGGGGGAAGAAAGGGGTGTCTATTAAAAAAGTGATTTGGGAAGAATAATTACTGTGGCTGCACAGGAAGGAGGAGTAAGTGACCCCTTAACACTCCCTTGCAAAAGGCAAGTACAGCGTTTAGCCTGACAGAGTCCACCGACGCTTCAGAAGAAGTTGCGGTTGCATGTTTAAGGATTACTCCACGCACACGGACTCTCCCTTGGAAGACTTGCGTTCGTGCTGCTGCAGCCAGTACCCCGCGGTGGCCAGCGCTGCAGACCCCGCTTTACCGGTGCGGCATTTACCAGTTTTGCTTCCTTGTCTGCGGTGTGGAGGTGGCGAATGAAGCTCTGGATGTTGCAGTGAGCTGGGATGTCTCCTCACGTGTTTCAGCCTTGGCCAGGGGCATGCTGTGCTTGCCCCAACTTTCCTGTGTCACAGACCATCAGAAGAGCAGTATTGCGCCAGGCGCCCGACCCAGAGTTCCCAGCAGTGACCAGTTGGGTATGCCCGGGGCATACTGGGGGAGAGCGCCAGGCAGATAGGGAGAAGCGTCCCTGTTAACCAGTACCAGTGCTGTATTCCCAAAGGCACTCCCAGTTTCCTCGTCACTGTTACCAATCCGTTACCCTCCAGCTGTCCGGGGACAGGAATCCGGGATAAGTGGTAGGCACTTGCAAATTGAGTTTTGACGGAAGTTGTCAGATTCTTTCCATAACCCAGATTTGTTTGCCCTGTCCCTTTTAAAATATAGTATTTGTAAAACCCCAAAGATGTGACCTTTTGGTAGACTGTTAAAGAGTACTTTTGAGCAAGCTTTTCCCTTTTACTCCTCTTATTTTCCTTACAGTCAATTGCTTCAGCAGACATGGATTTGAATCAGCTGGAGGCTTTTCTCACTGCCCAAACCAAAAAACAAGGTGGCATCACATCAGATCAAGCTGCAGTCATTGCAAAATTTTGGAAGAACCACCGAATAAAGATCCATGAGAACCTGATCAATCAAAGCCGTTGGGATAATGTCTTGAAAAACATGAACTGGCGAGTGGATCTGAAGTCACAGTCAAGACACATCGATCAGATAAACACTCCTGTTGCAATAGTTGAAATGGAACTGGGGAAAAATGGTCAGGTAAGCCTTCTTTTGCAAAATACATGTATCTGGTTTAGCTATGTATGTGCTGAGACATTTTACCTGTTGCTGAATTCACTGCATCTAAATCAAGTCAATGTATTTTTCACCACTAGGCTTTTAATGTACTTGAACTAGTGGTCCATCTTTGGATACGCAGATACAATCTGGGTGGTGAATGCAATTTTTGCTTTTTTTTATGTCTTCATATATGTATTGACAGCTGTCTTTACATTCATGTTGGAAAATCTGAGGACGTAGAAATCAAACATAAAATCAGCCGTACTCACAATTATATTAAAATTATATTTGTATTTCATGCAGTGCAAAGTCGATTAGTCTTTTTTTCTTTTTCACTCTAATCAAATACTAAAATTAGGTAATATCTGCAAAGCAGAATCTGAAAAAGAATAAAATTCACAAATTATGATGATTGAGCATCCCTTACATTTTAGGACAAATGAGGGGAAAGACTCCTCTTTATTTGACATAACACCTATTTTCATGTTATGAGCACATCTTTATTACCCATCACATTATACAATCTGGTCTTATCTGCCTGGAAGAGAGATTATAGCTCTATCAGTGCTGAACACTGTATTTCTTTTTAATCTTTATAATTCATAAGAATGTACAACTAAAGGCATGGCTTTCCATCTTCAATTTTCCTGCCTTTTTCTGGCAGGAAATGTGTTTCAATTTGGTACCTTTTTCCTCTGGAATGTGTTAGCCAATCTTAAAACCTCATTTCTCAGCAGTAGCTATTGCAAATCATACCGTAAGCTAATTTGGGGGGTTTGATTTTTAACAGTTAATATTTAGCAAATTTCCTTGCATTTCATAATATTTTAGTAGCTTACAGCAAAGTAGTACCTGGATTAGATATAACTAAAGTGTGTGTGTGTGTATATACACACACCTGGAGTATACCTGTGCAGACTGAATGATTTAATTGAAACTGTGTGGCTATACCAAAGCCAGGATGAATGTACAAGTAAACTGGGATCCTACAGAGGCAGTATCTATTGTTGGAAGTTATTCTGTTAGTCCACTTTTCCTCTCAGTCTTTGAAAGGAACGTCTCTTGCCCTTCCTAAGTGCTGACCCTCTGCCTTCCACTCATGTATCTCTACAGCGACCAATACAATAATGGTGTGTGTGTTTAGGTTTTTCCTAGCCTCAAAAAAGTGGAGTTTTCTGCTTAGGATCTTGACATTGGAAATAATTATATTCTATTAGTAACAAATGGAAAAAGTTAAAAAAAAAACCCCAACAGTTACAGTGAGTACATTAGAATGAGTACATTAGTGAGCAAATGGGAACAATACCAGTGTTCATTAAAAAAAAATAAATCTTTAACTCAAAACCACTGTTGTATTTCATAAGGGAATTATGTAGTTAGTGACTCTTGTTTTGAAATTGTTTTTTCCCCAGTAATGGATTGTTACGGTAACATCAGTCAGCAAGTACATTTGTATTTCTTCCACCCTGTGCAGCTAGAGAAAGGGGATGTAAACATGAAGGAAGAATACCCATTTCTGAGACACTGTAATTTCTCGTACTGAAGAGCGCTACAACACAACCAAAATTAATTATTTTAGCAATGCAGCTTCATATTTCAACGGGAAGTGTTTGTGTCAACATATTTTTTTAACTGCCACCAGGCATGACTTTTGCCTCCTTTGCTGAGGACAGTAGTGAGCTATCGGCAAGTCTGGCGCTTGGTGCGAATAAGGATATTAGACTGGTACTTAGAGAAATAATCATGGAGTAATTAGCATTGTCACCACTTGAGTCAAAATCAGCATTTATTTTAAGGAGCTGTGGTTTGAGGCAGTTGGTTGAGGTTGAGGCAGTTGAGGTTGGTAGACTGTTGAGGCAGTCCGCATCAGGCTGCAAGTCATGTGATGGGCTGAGTTTTGGGAACCCCAAGACTGCAACGGCAGCAAGCAGATTGCAAGAACAGTTCATCCAGCCCTCAGCTTCTTCCCACAGAGGAAGGCCTCTTGGAGACCTCCTGGAAAGATGGTTGCAGAGACTATTGTTGGAGGTTGAACAAGTTGTTCTTGCATGCTGGATCCAGCCCATGAACTTTAAACCATCACACTTTATAGCCTTTGTGTGTATTTTTACTTCATCGTTAGCACATTTATATCTAATCTAAATATCAAGTTCTGTAGCACATCAAATATGCATATGCTGGTACCTTTCTGAAACTTAACAGAGAGAGCATCTTTTCTAAAAGGTTGTCAGTCATAGATGTGATTTGGTGAATAGCAAAGATCTGGATTTGCAGCAGAAAGCTGGCTGGTGATTCAGGAGTAAATTATTCAGAACAGACTGTTTTCATTTGGACACTTGATAACAGGGGAGTGTACAAATGCATTGATGTGTAATGAATTGATATTAATATTTTATATGTTTCAACAGAAGCAAAGAAATGCTCTGTAGAAAATGTACCTTTCCAGATTTTAAAGTTGCTCTAATTCTTTTCTGTGTCTCTGGACTGGATTTAGGTATCTGCCCAGCAGAAGGCCAGGCAGTTTGATGGAGTGTCTGCTCCTTGTGCTTCAATAAGTAACCTTGCTTTCTTCTTGCCACCTCTGAATTTTAATCGGTCAATTCTTTCATGACAGAAAGACTCTATGTGTAAGACCTTATATGGCTAGAAATGGGGACTTTGAAGTGACTGGTTCATAAATGCCAGTAGACCGAGTTTACATGAATTAAGTCCAATTTCATTAATGTTTTCTGATGGGAGAGAGATGTTTCTGGGTTTGAGAATCCATTACAACTTGCATGCATTCCAAGGATGCTTTCCATAGAGCACAAGAGCTCTTGATTGCCAGGTGTAAGGCAAGGAAAGGAAGGCGAGAGGCCAGCACGGCTGAGTCAAGACCTGATGGGCAAACTAAAAGGCAGGAAGGAAATGCACAGGCAGTGGAAGCAGACACAGGTATCCTGGCATGAGCACAGGGACGCTGCCCAGGTGTGTAGGGGTGAGGTCAGGAGGGCCACGGTGCGGCTGGAGCTGAACTTGGCAAGGGATGCAAAGAATAGTATGAAGGGCTTCTACAGGTATGTCAGCCAGAAAAGGGAGGTCAGAGAAAGCATACCCCCTTGATGAGGTACTGGTTGCCTGGCAAACTGGCATCAACAGATAAGGACAAGGCTGAGGTACTCGATGATTTCTTTGCCTCAGTCTTCACTGGCAGTGTCTCTTCCCACACCCCTCAAGGGGATAGCCTGCAAGACAGGGTCCGGAGGAGCAAAGTCCCTCCCACTCTAAGAGAAGATCAGGTTTGAGACCACCTGAGGAACCTGAACATACACAAGTCTATGGGACCTGATGAG